TCGAGCAGTAAAATGAAATTCTGAACAGGTTTGTGTCAAGTACTCACACTGCATGGCGCCAGTCTTCAAAACCACCATCCCTTAAACTCACCATTCAGATTCACCTTCTCGAGTTTTTGTTTCAAGTCCACATCCAAAGTAGCTTCAACTCTCAGCAGTTAAAGTTCACGTTTTTGTCAGGAATAATTTGAACTATTTCCCCCCACACCGAAAAATCACAGAAAGGAAGGTTCTTCTTTTCTGACCTTTTACGTGTCTATTCTTTTCTGCACAGAAAAGAAGTGGCTTCCTTTCTGTGTTCTTCATTAAATTTGTGTTTTTTCTCTTTTATAATTAATGATCTAAATAAATAATTTTCACGTAAACATTTATAAATTAATGAGAAATAAGTAAAAATCATGATGAATGTAGAATCATTGAGATTCCAACATCTCTGCTATTTTTTATCGAAATTCAACATAGTCGACACTTTTTACATTTTTAGTAGTGAGACTAGCGTCCTCGGCCTACGGCCGACTCCGCTAGGCGCGGCTGTGCCGCGCAATTAGGTGGAATTAGATGCAGGGCCTTCGGCCCTGGCTCAGTGGAATCAGTTGATCCAGGGTTCAGTCTGTTCTCCCTTCGCTCGCTCCGCTCGCTCAGGTCAAACAGACCGGACAGGGCCGTCGGCCCTGTAACATGAGAAGTTTCAAATCGAGTGGAATCGATTGCAGGGCCTGCGGCCCTGGTTCAATTCTCTATCCGAATCAGGACTAAAAATTTAGAACCAGTAGATATCTTTTCTTTTCCATTAGAGGCTAAATTTTCGAAAGATTTTTCACGATATTTTATTTTTGACAAACATTTTTGTTCATTTTTTTCCGAAGTTTTTTGTGGTTTATTACCTATATCTCAAGTACCAACGTACCTGAAAAAAATCTGAAGACAAAAATTGAAATTAGATATCTTCTTTCATAGGGAGGCAAAAAATCAGATGAATCCATTCAGTGGTTTTCGCGTATCAAGTGGTTGAAGCTGGACTGTCGGAATTTCGAGCATTTCACTCAAAACCTATCAGCTTTTTTTATTTTCAAGCAAATTAAGTCATATTTTTTGTCGACATACCTATCAAAATTACGGATCGAATGGGAAAGCCGGATTATTGATTTAGGCCCTAGTTTGGCAGAAAAAATGGAAAACGTGGAAAAAACCGGATCCACTCGTACGTTTTTAATCATAACCTGGTTCAGCCGGTTTAAATTATGACGATTTTTCGCAACCGGATAGCCACAGAGATTCTATCGACCAAAACAGAATCGTTCAAAACGGACCGGAATTGACCTAGTTAGGATTATTTTGAGAAAAGTTTTATAAAATGTCAAAAATGGGGGTACGTGATACCTACTCGATTTAAAGGAAGAAGGTGACGGATATGTCTAATTGTCACAGAATTGTTTGGATTTTCGAAAAAAAAAATCGATGATTTAAAAAAATTTTGAAATTCCCCCTTTCCTATATCTTTTACAGGAACAATGATGATTGGAGTCAACGTAAAGATTATGGCGTCCTTCTATTAACGGTTTTACTAAACATGAAAAACTTGGAGAAGGTTAAGGTGGTAAAGGATCCAAGGGTACATTAAAAAAGGGATCATTGAAGGTGCGTCGAGCTTACATTGTCTGTGAGGGTGGATCTTAGCGTGTAGAGCCTCTTACCCGAAGTCTATAGTTTGAAGCGAAAAGCAAGATAGTCTGCAGACAAATGTTTCGGTTTTTTCGTCCTTCCATATGTACCAGATACTTCCATGTACCCTTGTAAAACCAATTTGCCTTAAAAACTAGATCTACCCTTTTTCAATGTACCCTCGGATACTAGTCTGGTTTAGGTTCCAGTCGACGTGAAACATTTCCCCTTGATCAGTTACTTTCTAACGAATTCATTATCCAGACTTTTTTTCCAATTCCCCGACTTTTATGCAAATTATTGGTTTTTTTTTTGAAAATTGGTGATACCCTTGACCTGGAACAAGATTGTAGCTTTCAATCTCTCCACACACACAAGTCCTTTCTCTAACAACTTTGATTATCAATATTTATATCTGATCATAACGTCATTCGGCATTCTTCAAAAAAAGGCGCGCACAACACATGTAGATCATTTGACAAGTGTTAGAATGTTTTGAAATTGGAGACACAGACCGAACGAGCACATATATTTCATTCTATGTACAAGAAAAAAAATCGTTTCAATTCCTACCCATTCCATTCGCCTTTTTACTCCCCTTAGATGGATTTATTATATGCCCTTTCCAAAATCCTTTCCTTCTTTCTCTTTTTATTGAGGTTTACGTTTCCATTACCCACCCCTCCGTTCGTATATCTCATTTGCTACCGTAATCTTTTTTTTGCACACTCGTGTCAGATTTTCACTTTTCCCTATTTCCTGAGAGCTAGTATTCTTCATCATCCGGCAGTTTCACATGAAAAAAAGAAGAAAAAGGTCTCTTCGCCAAAAAAAAACGAGAAAAGGAAACGAGCCTCTGCGTCTCTACAATCTTCCCTTTTTATTCCAAAATCATGTAGCAACCATTCCAAAATTTCATAAAAAAGTGTCTTCGTGTATTTTTTGTTCTTTCTTTTCCAGTCTTTTTGAATTCAGTGTTTTTTCTTGTGTTTCTCCTATTCCCTACACTTTTTAAATATATTTTTAGGATGAATCCTGAACATCTACTTCAACCCGTGATGCGCTGGGTTGCAACTATAAACTGGGTTCCATTTCGAAATCGTGAGTTGCAAAAAAAAACAACTAAAAACAAATCGACTAGAATTATATTATTTTCAGAAGCACCACCAATGCGAGTTGCTCCAATCTTCCAAAGTGCAGCTCATCAAGCTTATCAGGGTTTGTCATGTGAATCTGATTTAGAAACTGAACTCATCTATTACAGCTCAAATTCCGGTGTATCAGAATCCGATGGCCTACCCAGGAAATTGTCTATTCCCACTCTCAAACGGTAAAGCAGCTAACATCCTTCTTAAACTCAACTTATATTTCCTCTTCAGAGGATCAAATGGTTTATGCAGCAGCTGTGCAAGAATTCGAAACTTACCAAATGTTCTCTCGGCTCGTACTATCGCCTGAGAATCATAAAATAAATGGATTCGTCCACATCAACAATCAGGGTCAACCCGATGTTTCCGCCCGCAGAGCCGATTGGAATAGTTGGGCTCAGCCGGGAGGTGAGATCTGGTTTCATAGGTACAGTATTTAACGTAAATGCTTCAGATTCAATTCGGAAGTGTGTCAGATGCTACAAACAGTTTTCCGAAGCAGAACCAGATGGAGAATGTCGGTTTCATCGTCTTGGAAAGGATTGCTGTGGAAATACAGCTCCTTGTACTACAGCAACCGCCCATGTGCACAACAAAACCTGCATGTCAGAAATCGGAAAGTTTATCAAAACTCCTAGAAGCTCGGGACCATTCGACGGTAGAAGCTACAAGGTTAGTAGGCAGTACAAATGTTCATGCAATCCTCTTAAAGTTAATTATAGGTTTTCGCAATCGACACAGAAATGATTTATACTGAATACGGAATGGAGGCTGCTCGTGCAACAGTTGTTGATGTTCACGGTAGTTTGGTGGCCAACTTTTTCATCAAACCCACTGGGAGAATATTGGATCTCAACACCCAATATTCTGGAGTTACAGAAGGTTTTTTGGATATAGCTGTTTCATTGGAAGAGGTAAGAGAAAACTGTGAAAAATGATCACAATATTAAACTTCCAGGCACATCGAATCCTATTCCATCACATAAACGAAAATACTATTTTGGTTGGTCACCACCTGTCAAACGATCTGAAAGTGCTCAAATTGATCCACACCAACGTTGTGGATACTGCAGTTCTTTTTGAGAGTAGAGGACGATATCCATCTCTTAAAGTTCTCGCAAAACGACATCTCCACAAAGATATTCACAATGAAGTGGGCGGACATGATTCAACGGAGGATGCATCAACTTGCATTGAGTTGGTGGTGAAGTGTTTTCTTTGATCGAAGTTATTTTCTTTTCTTTTTTCTCTTCTCAATGATTTTGTACATTCCGAATCTGAGCTCTCATCCAAACTCTGTCTCACCTTCCTCCCTATATTGAACTTCATTCTCACCGATTTTTCATTTCTTTTTTCGTTTTTTTATCGACGATTTTTTAAAATTTCTGTTTGTGCTTGAATACAAAACATCTCGAAACTTCCCCTTTTTTGCTTGATTGTGCAATCCTTCGCTATGTGACTTATTGAACTTGATTCATTGAACCATACTTTTAATGTGTTCTCATTACTTCTGCATGTACTTTTTGTCTATTGTAATAAATGAAAGAAAAACTAATGTTCTGGGTCAATAAACTATGAGAGAACAAGGAGCGCAAATTGGTCTCGTTTAAGTTAATAACGTTGGGCAGGTACGTCATAAAAATGGGTCATTATTGGACAAAAAGTTATTAGACGGTGTGCAATGTTTTATAGTTTTTCTGGAGTTCTTCCGCCACCTCCTTCGTAACTAGGTTATTTTCAGTCCGTTTTGGCTGATTCTTTTTTTGATTGATAGAAAATCTCTCTGGCTATCCGGTTACCAAAGATCATCAAAACTTGTTCCGTTTGAACCAAGATATGATAATGAATGTACAAGATTTAATTATTTAAAGTTTTCAGAACTGGGGGAAAATGAAAAAAAAAGTTCTCGAAATTCCGTTGAAATGTGCCCCTCGAGGAGTGGAACTTGTGGTACGAGTATTGAAGGTGCGGCGCCGCTACCAACTGAGCCACACAGGCAAGTTTGCCCAATGGAATACTATAGCTGTACGCAGAGTGAACACTAATCCTTGTACGCCGTTATGCCATACAAACTCTAAAAAAACTTCGTAAAATCTCCGGTCATCCCAAATTCAAAATCAATTTTGCACTACATTTTCAGGACTAAAAATTGACTATCTTCCATAGAAAAGTCAAAAACTCGACATATTTTTGTCCGATACGGTGTCTGGACAGGTAAGCGTAAAGAGAATTAGAAAACGGCATATTTAGGGATATCAAAAATTAAAGAAAATTTGAACAGTTAATCTAAATTAATCTGTGTGTTTTCAAGTATCCACGAATCCACCTCCTCCTCTCTTCTCGTCTTGCCCTTCCTTCTGGATCTCGAAGGATGCGTCGGCGTCAACCAGTGCTCTCTTGGTAATCCGAATCGTATCTACGTATCCATTCTGAAAACATGATTCAGGCTGAGAAGACGTCACTACACAGGGATCCCCTCTACGGACATCCTCTGCTTAGCCTCCTCCTACTTCCGAATCCCGACCGGTAAACCTAAGCGTCTCTAATTCTCATCTCATCAATCAAACTTATTCAGCTCGAGTACCACGCATGACACATTGAATGAGGGTATGGATAGACTAGCCTTCATGCCATCTTGCCGTCATGTCAGTGGAGTGAGATCGGAGCTGGCTATGGAAGTCGCACTTGGCAGGTACGCTACTTTTAAAATTTTATGGGCTTCAGAAGCTAGCAAAACAAAAAATGTTTCTTGACTAACTCACCATACCCCTCATCTCCCATAGCGATAGGAAGATTTTGAAAAACCTCAAGATCGTAGGAAAGTGTGATGTGAACTCTACTAGAATCTTATTGAACCTTCCTGAACCACCCAAAGCTTCCTCCTCGTTTTAAGTAGGTCCTAGATTTATGAGATTTTTGAAGAAGTCAATTGACATTTTCTAGTTTTCTTACACTTTCATCGAGCCCCGTCGGCTATTGCTGACTGAGATCCCAAGTGGATATCAAACGCTTCTCTAGCTTCATTTGAACTTTCATACCTTTCTGTTTCTTAAACTTTTCTTGTGGTTGTTTTCAATTTTTTGTTGTTCTGCATTTTTTGTTTGGTTGTAGCTGTTCATAAAAACGATTTTCAACGGCTATGTGCTTAAAAATGTTTAATTAATCTACATCCTCATGTCCAGCTCTATGATTTTGATGGATTTTTTGGAACAATATCGTAGGCGAAAAATTAATTAACATGTTGGTTAAATTGTTGAATGCTTCGATCAATGATCATCGAACTATGTTTTGTCGGAGGGCGCAATTCCTTGAGACTTGGAATTGTGGTATTTTAACTTGTTTATTTGTTTCCCATCTCATCAAAGGTGTACGGCATTGGAACGATGTCGATATTTGCTCTTAATTGCTCTTAATTGTTCCTTTAGAAATTTTACTGTTTCAAACTTTTTTACACCCTTGTGTTTGACTTGAGGAGTAATCATCCTTCCCCTTGTGAAATTTGTATAACAGCAAAATTACAATTTCCAATTGTTAAAGCTATTGAAGATACCTAAACTACTCTACTAGCCACTAAACTGTTTTTGGCCTCTCAGACTTCTCATTCAGAGTCTCCCAGAATATTTTAGAATCGTTTTGAATAGTCCAGGATCTCCCTACTTTTCAAATATCCCTAAATTTTAAAAGACGTTTCGAGAGGATTTCCTATCCTCGTTTGAAATCTTCCACATGCTATTTCAACCACTCTTTCGCCGATAAATGTTATCTTTAAAATAATTTGAGAACCAGCAAAAATATGAGTTGATTTTATATTTATTGGTTTTTCCGAACTGGGGCCCTTCTATATATATATTTGAATCCCTTCACAAACAAACTTTTTAAACTTTGTTTCGTTTCAAACTTTTTCACAATTTTATGTTTGACTTGAAGAGTAATCATCTTTTGGGTCCCTCAAAACGCTTTGGCTTTGCGTATAGATTTTAAAGTTTTAAAAAACAAGAGTGACTCCAACATTTTTCAGAGTTTTCAACATTTATTGCATTTAATAGTTTCAGGTTTTATCACAAATCACCAAAAAATTGTCATAGTTGCATCCTTTATCACAACAAAGAACCAACAATTTTCCATAATCTCGAGTGAATCCATCACGACAGACGGATTTCAGATGCCGTAGAACACTCATACCGCACATCTGAAATTCTATAATTTCAAATCATCCTAACATTTGACTACCTTTCTTTTAGGTTTTTCCTTTTTACAAACTTTGGACGTCGCAAATGAAAAACATAATAGAAATAATAGGAAAATAGAGAGAAGCTTCATACAATCAAAGTCGAATGGAGAACATCTGGAGAAGAAAATTCGTTAGAGAAGATCCGGAAAAAGTGCATTCGGAACTCTCATCAAAAGTTTATTGACCAATTCGTTTTTTGTTTGAAAAGCCGTTTGAGATTTTAAAAGAAAAAGTTTATTCAGGAAGCCTTGCTATTTGTATAGCAATTTTTGAAACAGCAATACAGGAAAATGAATAAGCACATATCATCAGAAAGTAGCCGTTTTGATTCAAAATTCCAGAGGCAATTAGAAGAAGAAGGAGAAAGAGAGAAGGTTCAGAAGGTCTTAAAGATCTTCGACATCGACAATCATCAATTTTTGTCCATCCAAACTGGACAACGGAAGAAAATATACATCGGTACAGTCATCTTGGTATGTCTGAAATAGTGAAAAATATGAAAAATCAAGATTCGGAGAGATCGGTATTACCGCCAGATTGTCAATGATTTTTTCATGATGAACTGGGTTACTGGACAAGTATAAAACACGGTTGACAATAGCAACTCCAGATGAAATATCAGTGAGTAGAGAAGCAAGTTCTTCGGCAGACTTTGGCCAAGTTCCACGGAGGGATTGAGCCAGAATACGAATTGGAGCATCAATCTGAAAATAAAATTAAAAGTTACTAAAATTAATAAAGAATACAAACATCAATGTTCTGTGGTCCAAAGTGTCCGAGGAATGAATGGATGTATTGAATCAATTGAATATCACTTCGAATGTCTTCTGGAACCATTGGCTCCCATGAATTGCGATGAACAGAGCAGCCCCCTGAAAACTATATTCATTTGAAAAACTTTGAAATTCTAGGATACCTTCCATTGCAGAATCATGATACGTTGAGTGTAATATGAGCTAGTGGACAGACACATTGTATTCGAAACCACTTTGACATTTCGATTGAACATTCGAATGAATCCAGTTGGCCATTGAGTCAATGCTTCACTAATGAAAATTGAAGATGTGGCCGAAGGAATTCGATTTGAAAAAAGAGTTCGCATCGATTGAAGAACATTGTGGTACGGTAGATAGGCGTGAGTTTTCAGAAGATTTACGAGTTCTGTCTCAAATTTTTGCAATACTTCGTATTCGGCAATAGTCCAACATTCAGAAGAGAGAGTCTGAAAATTGAAAAATTTTGAATAAATATTCTAAATCCATTTTTTACATCTTGAACGATTTCTCTCTGCTCGAAAAGTCTTCCTTTCGCATTGTTGCTACATTGGACCAATTCAGTCAGAGCTGTCTCATCTCCGTACTGAAAAGTAGAATTTTCAAAATATTTAGAACTTTTTTGAACTGACCGTTCCATCTGGATAACAGAATCTGACAACCAAAGTGTGTCCACGATAATTGAACCCGTTGAAAACTTTGAAAACTTTCAACGCATCTTCTGGACGATAGAAATTGAGAAACCATTTTCCTGGAGGGACAACAACGACATCTTGAATCGAAATATCCTCCCGAATCTCTTTTTTAATTAGATTCAAAATGATATTCTTATGAGCAGTTGGAAGACCAGGAACATTCAAAAACAGAAGTTTGGCACGAACAAGAGTGTCTGAGCTGAGCATATCGGAAACTCTTACATCACGAGATGGTGCTGAATTCTGAGAATCTTCAGAATAGACACGTGCCCAATAATCCCATCCAGATTGAGATGATGGCTTCTGAGTGACTGAAGGAGTGGGAGATGGAGAAGCATTGACGTGACGAGTTTTTTTCCAAAATTTGAAATTCTGACAACAAGACAAGAATTCAAGAGAATTACCGGAAGTGTAGTTCGAAACGACGAGAAGGTTTGAGTTCTCATTATTGGCTTAATCCTTGAGTAATAAATTTCAGATTCTCCTGTTTCTTCGTTTTTCTTGTCGACGAGCAAAAAGAAAAAAAGCGCTACGTGTTTCCAGCAGTTCACGAGTGTGCGATAACTTTATTTCAATCAAAAATATTATACAACAGAATTAGGTTACGCATTCTCAACTTCTTCTAATTCTTTCATCGCTTTCTCTTTCTCAAATTTCTTCCTCTTTCTATCCCTTATTGCTTTTTTCATCAGAAATCCTTCCTTTCGAACTTTTTCTCTCATTTCAAAGGCACTTCGTTTCAATTTGTATATCTTTTCCTGTTGTTCCTCAAATTTCAATTTTTCTTCTTCCATTTTCATCTTCTCCTTTTCTTTGTCCCTCATCAAATTCAATCTAGCCTGCTCAACCTTCATTCGTGCTTTCAGAAGACGTGCTTCCTTTTCAAAATTCTCGTTTCGTTTGCTAATTTCGGAGAACGTAGACTTTCGACGCACATGCCTGAATTATTGAAAATTCGTAAAAATTAGAATATTCTTGTCTTACCTAATTAGATAATATCCTCCAACAAGGATAGGAAATACCACGATTGTTTGAAAAATCAGCAATCCGAAATCAACGAAATGAAACAATCGTTCATGGCTGGTTACAGCTGAGTTCGCTATTTTGTTTTCGAATTTCGATTTTTACAGTTTTACCGATTCTATGTTTCGACCATTCCATTTTCACACTGCGTACTTCCCAACCAAAATAGAACAAAAGACACAAATAAAGTAATGAAAGATACAGTTTGTTATAAATCTTCAGTCCGTAAAATATGAAAAATGCCAGTATTCCCTGAAACCGATTAGTTTGAAGAGCATAAAAATATCTTCCCCCACATTTTGAATTGATTTTGTGACACTTGTACACTGTCTACTAGTGGCATACTTGTTGGACATTGGATTCACTAATCGTACATTTGTCATTCCCAATTCTAGAGGGCCACAGAATCTGAAACCCATTATTCTGTTGAATTTTCAGCATTTTATGACATACATATTGGAAAGCAACTGAAAATGATAATAAATATGCAATACCGTCGTAAGTTCATCTAGAAATCGTTTTGAGTACATAAATCCATCAAATTAAGGAGAAACCCACTCTAACATTAGAATCAGCTTCGAAAAAAAGGTCCGGTTCTCTTTTATCCAGCTGCCTATCGAATAGACTTTTTGCATCGTCTTCAACGTCTTCAAGACGGACTTCTGGAGCAATTGCATCAACTAGTTCTTCTGATTTCTTGTTTTTTGAACTTGCTCGCATTTTTCATTACACGAACCCCTGAATTATTTTTTCAGCCATCATGTCGTCTGCGTTCTGGAACCAGCTAACATAGATTTAAGTTCACGCGGATAATTTTTAGTTTTGTTCATTCCAGGTATCACAGGATTCGAACTACTGCGGTATGATGTTGCGCTCCAATGAGAAGGGCGTGGTAAAATTTTTAGATCGATGGAAATACAATTAAATTGAGAGCGAGAGACTACAGTTCTAGTGAAATATAGGGAGAGACACAGAAAACAATTTAGAATTAACACATCGCGCAAAAAAGTATTTCCAGCTGACACGTTCCTTCTCATTAGAGACTACAGTAGTTCGAACCCTGTGAGCTATCAGACTCGCTTGGGCTTCTAACATTGAACATTCATAAATATACAGGTTTACTCAGAATTTACAAAAAAAGGGCAAAATAAATCAAATTCAGTTTTTGTACTCGTTATCAATGAATTTAGCAATGGTATTCAATTGAATGTTCGATGTTCCCTCATAAATTCCACCAACTGCTGAGTCTCGATAAAACTTTTCTGCTGGAAAATCCTTCGTAAAACCAATACCTCCAAGCCATTTGATGCATTGTTTTGAAGTTTTAGAAGCAATCTGAAGTCAGAAATTCAAATTTTCAAAATCATTAAAAACCACACCTCTGGAGTACTTTGCCATTGATGCTGCCTTGACAAGTGGATCCACCGTCTTTCATTCTAGCCGAGTTATAAACCATCAAACGCGCAGCCTCAATTTCAGTGCTATTTGGTGTTGAATTCCCTGAAAGAAACTATGATAAAATGTATTTTGAAAACTTTAAAAGATACCTGAAAATCAATAAGTCTTTTCCCAAATTGTTTCCTTTCTCTCAGATATGGAATTGATTGATCGAAGCACCCCTGCGCCAATCCAACCATTTGCGCTCCAATGAGTATTCTACTGGCATTCAGAATGTCAATAGCGTACTTGTATCCTGTAATTAATTGTACCATTTTGTATAATTTTTTTGTACCTTTTCCATACTCTCCGAGAATTGCGGAATTCGGTACGCGAACATTGTTAAAGTACACTTGTAGTTCTAGCACGCATGCCAAGATTTTGATCCTGGAAAAGTGTGATATTAAAGAAAACTAACGAAAACTAAAGTTACCTTCTTTCCTACAACAACTCCTGTTTGATTTCTGTCAACTAAGAAACATGTGATTCCTCGATGTCCTTTTTCTGGTTCAGCATTAGCCAGTACTAGAAAGAAATCAGCGATCGGAGCATTGCTGATCCCCAATTTCGACCCATTGATCACGAAATCATCTCCATCTTTCGTAGCTGTCGTCTTCATTGCGAATGCGTCTGAACCGGATATAGTTTCCGAGAGAGCAAATGATTCTATCTGAAAAGTACTAAATGGGTTACTATCAAAATGGGAACCGTACCGAATCAGTACAAACTCTCTTCAAATAGTGTTCCTTCTGTTCTTCACTCCCATAATTGGAAAGCATTGGAGCAATAAGCGCATTTTGAAGATGAATAGTCAGTGCAACAGCCGGATCAACTTTTGATATTTCTTCAACTGTCAATGCGACATCAAAGAAAGATCCTCTGGATCCACCGTACTCTTCATCCACTTCCAACCCCATCAATTTCAATCGAAATGCTTCTTCCAGAAGATTCTTGTCCAGTTTAGCATTCTCATCCATTTCTCTAACTAATGGCTTTACACTCAACTCGGCAAAATGTTTCACTGAAAAGCACAAAAATCTTTAGAAGTTCCTTGTTCTTACTTTTTTTGACAAGTTCTTCTTCATTCTCTGAAAGTTGTTGTAGTGGAAAAACGGGCGGTGATTCAGAATTCAATGTTGAAGAAGTATTGGAAAACGAATTCACAGAAGACAATGGATTTTACGGGATAGTTTCAGCATTCTAAAATATAAAGATGGTTTTTGGTTGAAAATATAACATGGTTGCGAATAATTGAAGAAAGTTTTTGTGTCGGTAAGAATCTATGAAAACAATAAAAAAAGAAGATCATTAACTGCTAAACGGCGATGGGGCAATCACATGTTTGTTTGTAAACAAGTAGGTGCAAAAATGAAAGACAGAGATCATAGAAACAAGAAAAAGGACGAAGGAAAACTGTGTAGAAGAATGAGCTGGGTACACTGGGATGGATCTTATTTATACTGAAAGGTCAGAATTAAGAAAGAAGAGAGAAGAAGGGAAAGACACGTGAGAAGGACGACGGGTGTTAGGTGTGTGGTCAGTGATCTTTGTAAAGCTGGTTTGAGAGTCAGTGGAAGACTTTTAGAAGGAAAAGCAGATAGCTATCGAGTTTTAGAAGATATGGAATATTCGTTAGGTACCATTATCGACGTATTAATTGTAGATATCATGCAGTTCCAGATATGTCCGTATCCCGTTTTGCTAAAAAGTCTATGTATAGTTCACAGCTTTTCAGTTGAAGTCGTAGTTTCTAAGACAGGAAATTTTTTTGGGATCCAGAAATTATTATTCCTTTCAGATTGAAGAAGCATCTACAAAAAAGAAATTGCGGTTTTGTAATTATTGAACTTTTTGTACCGTCCCTTTTGAAGACTTTGAGTTGATACTTCATTCAACGAGCTACCTATTTTTTTAGGAAGATTCCTTACACTTGACACTGTTAAATGTGAATTTACATTTTTCTTATTGGTTTGTAGTCTTCACTTCTTTTGTGTACTGTAGCCTAATATCCCCTTCTCAACCGACTGGTCTTTGAACAATCATAACACCTAGACTTGGGGAATCGCTTCGAACATTTTAGTAGCTTCGAATCAAACGTAAAATTATATTCCTACCAACTTTGATGCTTCCAAGATACTAATGTCTAAAGTTATACCCGTTGTTATCAGTAATTTTGCGCCACCCTGTTGAATTCAAGCATATCTCCTTTTATTGTATATTCTGTATTTTGTGGCTTTAAGATTCTTTTCAAATCTAGACCTAAAACATTATCATAGACTACGAGTTTCGAGTTACATTATCATGATTTTCGTCAAATTTCACGTCAGCACAAATTGTACTGATTTCCAAATTGTACGTCTGTTGGAGTTTTAGAGTAACTTTCAGACAATTAAGTTTGGTCAGAAGTCCTTTGCATAGAACGCACGCTTTTTTTGAAAAATTGAAATCTGGCACCCAGCCAACTTTTGTATGCGGCGAAAAGCTCTTTTTTCAGCTTCCCAACCGCGTTGTCCGTGGATATTGTAAATGAAAGGAATCTTCAAAATTGTTTTCAGAATCATACTACAAAATTCTGACTTAACATTTTTGTCAGACCTTACATTTTTCCGGCCTAGAATATTAATTTGACCTGAAAGTTTCCAAAATGTGCAGAAAGATATGTATATTCGAAAAAAAAAACAAAAAAATTCAAAATATTTTAACCTCGAAAAATGGCAAAAACCTCAGAACTCGTCCATTTCTGGAAACTTCTAGAAGTTTTGGAAACCTTGTTTTACATTCCTGCAAAAACTGAAAACCACCTCTAGAAAACTGTCTGAAATGAAAAACGGACAGTTTTCAGTTCTGGCGGTAATTCAAAAAATGATTCCAATACCATCTAGAAGTTTCAAAGATGGATGACAACTGAAATTTTTGCGACTTTTGAATTGGTTTTTTGATATTATGCTTTTTTCGGCCTTTCGTAAATACTTCAAAAGAAGCTCACCCAATACTTTTACATTGAGATTGATTATCTCGGTTCCGCTAAAAGATATCAAAAACTTGTCAACTGATAAAATATTTTTCATAATTTCACCAACATTTTATCGGTTGACAAGTTTTTGGTATCTTCTGAAGGAATCAAAATATTTGAGCTCCCCCTTCAAGGGATATCAAGTGAAGAATTATCTGCAATTTTTTTCCAGAAACATTACATTTTTAATTTCTTGTCCCTCGAATGATTCAAAAATCACTACTCCTATTACAATTATTTGATGACTTCATATAATGTTTTCTCATAGTTTCATGAACAATTTTGCAAAAAAAGAAAACCCCTAAATGTGTTTGTCTGAACTTCTAATCTATACAAAAATTCTAACCATTTTTACAACTAAAAAACTATTTACTCGATGATAACTGTGCAAATCAGAAACTCTTATAGTACAGGACCCAAAGGAAAATATTTTTTGTCTGAAAATGTCACGTGATTCCTATTGGAATGGACTGGAAAAGCGGAATTCGTGTTTACTGTTTCAAAACTTTTTTATCATTTTCTCGTGTTTTATGTAGGTGGATGTGATGACAAGCCACCGGAAGTCATATGATTCAGAAGAGAGTATCCATTAAGGACTTCAATATGAAAATCTTGTTGATTTCTGAAACTTATTGTTGGTTTTCTTTTTGCTCACTGGGACATCTTTATGAGTCATTTCTGGTCTTTCCTTTCTTTTTTTGTGTTTTGAGTCTCAAATCTGTTAATTTTGAATTTGAATTTTGGAATTCGGACATTGAAACTGTATTAGTCTCTTTGTGCCGATTCGTAGATTCTCCACAGAAATTTGACAAACAACGTTTTTGAAACGATAAGACTTTTATCATTGTACTGCTTTTCGTGGTATTCCTTCTTAGGATTAGTGTATAGGTACAAAGTGAACACGAAAAGTGCACAGGAATTTTGATTCGAAATTATTTCAATCTGAAATTTGAACTCTTGAACCATTGAACAATTCAAGAAGAACTTTTGTGAAACTCACTTAGGTTGAGAGGTGAATGAGAAACTGGAAACTTATTCGAACTGGAAAAGGATTACTGTAGCGAAAAAAAACCGAAAACTAAAAAGATTACTTTACGGAAAAGTTCCAAAATAAGAAGAGTTACTGTACGGTCAATTCAAAAAATCGAGCAGATGACATGGTATACATTCTGGTTAATTCAAATAACGAAATCATCGCTCGAAATATGACATCATTTTCTTCTCTACAGTAATCCTTTTCATTCCCGAGTTTTTTTTTCTACAGTACTCTTTTTCATTTTCGAATTTTTCTACAGTAATCCGTTTCATTTTCGAATATTTCCCCTACAGTAATCCTTTTAATATTCAATGTTCTCCCTACAACAATCCTTTCCCAACTTCGAATATCTTCCCTAAGTAATAATCATTTTTATCTTCTTTCTGATGAATTGAATCTTTTTGAAATCTGTACAAATGGCCTGGAAATTTTTGAAAATCAGATATAAATCACTTTTTGGTTAGTATGAATTAAAATGTTTCGTTTCTTTTGGTGCTTCGGAATCCCCAAAAAAATGTCTCTCCCCTTTTTCCCAATTCCCCCTTTGTTTGCCCGTAGACACTCTGCTGTCTGGCTTCATCAAACTTCATCCATTCTTATCAATTTGCTGATTTGAAATGTTGCCAAATTCTCAATAAGTAGCTCACCTGACTGTCCCTTTTTTCTTATCAATTTCTGGAAAATTCAGATCAATCATACATGAAATACATGTGATCCTTGTATTGTTCATGTATCGCTCTCTTTCTGTTTATTACTGTCCCAGATACAAAAAATATTTCCAAGATACCGACGTATTGTTTTGAGGGGGGAACATGAAAAAGCAGACAGGGAAAAACATATTCGCGGAATTCGTGGGAGTTAGAATAAATGACGGAAGATGATTTAGTTTGTACCCGAAAAAGGAAATACTTTGGAGATTTGGAAAAAAAATACTTCTCGGAAATCTTTTAAAACCTAAAAAATGTCGTTTTAGACGTTATTATCCAAAGTACCAGTTATCACAAAATCAGCGTCAACTAAAATACTTGTTCAGAAAAAATAACATCCTCATCAATGTAAAATGGTGTGATTTTTAAAGATTAGCGGATAACCTGTAATAGAAGGGCCCCCACTGTCGAGTTCGACCCCAAATATCTCCATTCCCATGCAAAAATGTGTCAACTAATAAAATGTTTGTGATAACATGATAAACACTTTGTTAGTTGAGGGAACTTTGATAGCTGTTGAACGAAATGAGATAATTGAGCTCAGAGATTGGAACGAATTTCTGGGGAGAGGGTCATATTGAAATGATGGGGGCTTATCTGGAATCTTCAAAATGTTTAGGGGGCCTGTTTTCAAGGTATTCGCAGATTTAGGGTGCTAAGCTCATTTTAATTTTTTCCTAGTGAGAAAGTACGGCAAAACACTTCGGGAATCAGGAAGGATTGAAAAAACGATGAAAAAAGTGAAAATCTAAAAAAAAACTAACAAAAACCGTTAGAAGATCGATATATTTCAAATTTTTAAAACAATAAATTATTTTCCAGACAAAATTTCAAGATTTCCCCGCATATCTGATTTTCAATCCTTTATCATTTCCACATCCACTCTTCCAGTATCTTTTTAAAACTATTTCCCAATTTTTAGCGAATGCTTCTGAAATTTTGATGTCCTTCAACTCCGTACATTTTGTGTCTAAACCTTTAGTACTTTGATTCCCATTTTTTTCTCTGAGAAAATAACAACTCAATATAATTCTTTAATCGTCTTTTCAACTATTTTTTGACATTGATTCCCATACTTTTATTAAATTTTTCCATTTATCAGCTGTACAATTCTGAGTACTATCTTTTACTGCTTTTCGATTTTGAGAACGTCACCCATCTAACTTCCCTGACTTTCTTTAGTTGGCTCCGCCTATTTTCCAGATCTTCTAAAGCTACAAATCTCCGCCCATTCATACATATAAAAACGGAAAAACAACAGATATTTTCAGTTTTTGCTGTCTCTATCTATCGAAATGCGGTTCACCTTTGTTCTTCTTGTCCTCTTTTTCGTCTTTCTGACACTGTCCAATGGAGCACACTCACATCATCACAAGTGCTCTGAAAAATTGTACTCGGCCCTCAAAAAGCTCTGCAGCTATAGAGGAGAAAGCCGTGAGTTTTTTGTGTCTTTTCTTCCTAATTCTTATTTTTTGATCATTTTGAAACATGTTTCAAAGTCCACCTGTCATTCAAAACGGCATGTGTTCTCTCGGAGGACTAACCCTCAATTACTCATTTCCGTTTCTAGGTTGATTCTTTTCTATTTTGAGATGAGCAATCAACAAGATATCCGAAAGTACAAGTTTGACAAACTTGTTCTTCTGACTCATTCGTTTCGACAAGAGTGTTCTTGTAGTTTATGTGTTTTGGAAGATCTGTTCAAATTTAAAATAGATTCTTTCAGAATTTCTGCGAAAGTCTGCTGAAAAGTGTTGCGAACACAACTGTGATATCTCCGATATGATGACCACTTGCATGGTTACTCCTAGTTTTGACGATGACCTACTTGAATGATTTCTGTTCCTGGAATTTGCCGAATAAGTTGCTTCCATATATTGTGTCTCATATTTTGTACAATTTGAATGTGAACATGTTTCCAATGAATTTAAATTAATAAAATGTATTTCTCTTTGGCTCTTTAAAGTATGATCAAACTTTTTGATACATCCGAATTGTTTGAAAGGTTATGTACTTTTCTAATATTATTGCGAAAATTCAAAAAAATCTGAATCCTCGAAGAACGCCGTTGAAAGTGGCATATTTTTCCAAAAGGTGGCGAATAGGGAGATTTGAATTCCCGCGCAGTGAGAAAATAGGCCGTGGCAGCAGGACGTTATTTTTCAAGTGGCCAATAGTGGTTTTTACGTGCCGAAGGTAAAAACCGGAAAAAAAACCCGGCGAAAAAGCCTCGGAAAAAGGCGTCCCACCGCCATGGCCTAGGTTTCTCACTGCGATGGAACTCAAATCCTCGTCCCTATTTGTCACCTTTTTAAGAAAAATGTTCCCTTGAAGCGGCGTTATTCGGGGATTTTGGATTTTTTTTGAGTTTTTTTGTAGTAATATTATGAAATACATAGCGTTTGAAACATTTCGAAGCCATACACATTTTGGTCGGAGTCCCTCTATAAAAAATCCAGGTAAATGATATTTTTATTCTGACAAGTTCAATTACAAAGTTTCCAAAAGCTCTAAAAACATGAGGAAGATAAAATTCTGCAAAACATTGACCGATATAGAACAACTCCTTCAAAAAATGCAGAAACAATAAATTGTAATAGGGCGACTTCATAAAATTTTATTGCATCAAAACGTTTCGGCAGCTATATAGATTTTTTTTTCTGATCGAAGATACGAAAGCTCATTTGAATTATTCAAAAGATACGGCTCAATTCCGGTAGCCAATCGTTTTTCGATCGGGCATTTTCCGAGAACATTCAATTAATATTTTTAACTCCGCCCACAAGATGCTCCACCCATTTTTCGTTGAACTTAAAGAGGAGAGTCAATTGAACCATTCCATTCTTTTCGATCACCCGAAAACCCAAAATTCTGTTTTTCTTTATCACCATGATGGCTCTTCGAATTCTTCTTGTATTCTTTTTGATGTTTGCCATGGTAGATGTAACCGAGTCGACTTCTAGATGTGTCCACAAAGCTTTCAATGTAATGAGAGTCTTGTGTGAGAACTCCGACAACTGTGAGTTTAGTGAGAGTGCACTTTAAGCTCAATTATTTCGGTTCGTTTAACAGCAATCTTAACACCGTCAACTAACATAATGTTTATCACAATATCACAAATATTTCATCAGTTGACAAATGTTTGATAACTCTCATAAGAACCGAGATGATTGAGCTCAAAGTTGACAGTTTCGGTCGGCTTCTATTAGAGCACTAGCTGTGAGATCTAGCTCTCACTATCTATTCCAAACTTTCCAGCTCACCTCCTGAAGTCGGCTCAAGAATGTTGCGAGGAAAATTGCTCGATGACACAGATGTATATCAAGTGTCATCAATAATTTGTACGCTATTTTGTCTTTATTCTATGGATCTCTTTAAAAAAATGCTCTGCTTCTGATTGAATGAATGTTGAATGTGTTAAAATTGTGTCCTTATTGATTCCGGATTCAAAATGACATCAGAGGTCATCTGAAATGTGGGAAGCAGACAAAAAGTGGAACTGTGCTCAGAAAATGAAATCATTTCAATAATAACCGGTTTTTGTGAACTCGAGGGAAACGCCCGGTGTATTTGTTTTAAAACTCGGGACATAAACTTAAACTAGGATGTGGGAGGAGAATTTTAGGTCAAATAGAATTCAGAAGTAATTATTGGAGCATTGAAAATCTACGAAAAGAAAAAGAAATCTTGATTCTTCAAACCAAATCGATACATTTTGAAAACATTCGAAATCAAGATATTAATTTATAAGATTTCGAAAATCTGGAATTATGAAATTCTCAAGTTGAAAATTCCGAATTTTTGAAATTTTGAAGTTCTGAAGTACTAAAAATCTGAAATTCTGAGAGAAGATTTCTGATTCTGGAATTCTGGGATTTCTGAAATTCTGAGTTTCTGAATTTTGAGATTCTGAGATTGTGAAACTCTCCGGAAGGGTTGGATTTGAATGTACCTCAAAGCACAAAACCTCCAGCAAGTGATTTGTACTTTCCTCTTATCTTCCACGCTCCTTCCAAAATACCAGGTCAAAGGTTTTCCCTAATTTTTCTCAAGACCGTCCTCTTCCCCACTCTTTTTCTCTCCAAAAAGTTATACTTTCCATGACTTATCGCCGAAACCATAACCCAGTTCCTTGCACGCAAAAACGAACTCTCTCCCTCTCTCATTCACGTCCTTTTCTTCGGTTCATTCCAAAACTCCGCCCACTTCTCCTTTTTCTTCACCTGCAACCAACTCCGCCCTAATTCGTAAAACAATGGCAGTATAAAAAGGTTTGAGGAACGGTTCAGAAGCATTCTTCTTCTTATTCTTATTAGGTTTAGAACACAGATCTAGACATGTTCCAGCGATTCTCCCTTCTCTCCATTTTCTTCTTCTTGGCTTTATTCCTTATTGTGGATCAAGTAAACAGTGCTCCTCATAAACAAGCTGCTTGTGAAATGAGATTATTCAAAACTCTGAATACTTTATGCAATCACTCTGGAGATGCTGGTAAGTTTCTCTCTTTTCAAAGTTTCTACAATACCTAACGTTTTTCTATTTCCAGAAGTCCTCCAGGAAACTGCAATGAGATGCTGTAGAACGAATTGTGTGCTGACCGAAATGATGACCGCATGTACATTGGATGACAACTCGATCTGAATTAAATATCAATGATCCTCAATCTCGATCTCGACAAAAAATCAATAAAATCGGTTAACATGTTCTAGTAATTGTTTGTAAATAAATACTTTTTTATTGGTCACTGACAAAACTGGAAAAAGTAGATTGTTTGGCAAAAAGACAAAAAGAATACAAACAGAAATCAACATTTTCCTGATAACAAAACCGAAAAAACATATGGACATGAATGACGTCAAATGGAATCTGAAAATAATTAAAAACATGCTGAAACTGATGTGAAAGAGAAAAAAAGAAGGAAAATGCGGGGGTTATATTATAGATAAGAACCGATTTTCAGGTTTTTGGTGTCATATGGGCACATCCAAAGAGGACAGTTTCTCTAAAAGTTCGAAGTTTGCCAAAAATGATCTTTACAAAATGTTTTCCATTATTTAGACCATGTGATTTGATAATACGTTTGTATGTTTGCAAAAACCAGATTAATAGTACAAAATGACAAGTTCATAGGATTTTTGTTGCATTGTGAAAATCTAGCAGAAGCCACAAAGACAGTAATACCTGTAATAGAAGAGTCCCTAACTTTAACTTTGAGCAAATTTATCTCGGTTCCTGTCAAAGATATAAAAAAGTCAACCGATAAACGGTTTATCGTTATATCAGAAGTGTTTTGTCAGAAGACACATTTTTGATATCTTTCATAGGAATTGAAGTAATTGAGCTCAATCTTGCTCAATCGGATATCACCTATTTCGATTATCATTCGAAAATCCTATTTGTTCGAGACAAAATAATGGCTCCAGAATATCTGGCAAATGCTGTAAACAAGTTCGTTTGAATTCACATATTTCGGAAGAAACCAAAAGAAACCAACACTTCAGAAATATCAAAGGTCTCCGAGAAAGGTTCAATCGTGCCGTTGCGTATACCAAGAATGGATATGACACAGTTCGGTCCAGATACATTGCATCATTTGCTAACTACAATTCTGTGACTTCACAAACTCAAACTGTAAATTAAATGATTTTACCGCAAAACCTGTAATAGAAGGGCCCCCTAACTTTCAACTTTGAGCCAATTTATCTCGGTTCCTGTCAAAGATATAAAAAAAGTCAACCGATAAACGGTTTATCGTTATATCAGAAGTGTTTTGTCAGATGACACATTTTTGATATCTTGCATAGGAATTGAAGTAATTGAGCTCAAACTTGATATGTCTATTACAGGTTTTCGGTAGTGTATTTTTTAAAATCATATCCCCGGTATTCGGTAATCGGTGAAAAGGAGAAGCGTTTTAGCTGTGTAATGGATAACATTGGTAGAAGAGGCCTCTCAAATTTGGTCATCAACAACCATACACTGAAAACCTGTAATAAAAGGGCCCTGTTCGAGTATAATGGTAACTTTTGGTCTGTTGATTTCGTTCTTCTATATTTCAAGACTCTTCTATAAAAATAACGAAATTGAAAAAAAAACTCTCAAAATCAAACAAAATATTTTGTAAAGTTGGAAATTTGGTCTTTTTTCCAGCTAATGTCGACTTTTTAAATGTTAAAAATAGCCAAAAATGAATCAAATGGTTCATTATCCAAAGAATATTGTTTGAAAGAAAAGTGGATCTGGATTTCAAATGTTGAGGCATTTAGAATCATTTTTGACAATTTTAAAACAAAAAAACCATAAATTCAGAAAAAAATCACTTCAGATTAATTTCGAACTATTGCAGACCAACTTTGGATCATTGTATACTAATTTTCAACCGTTTTAATTGTCTCGAAGTTATCAATTAGTTAGAGGGCCCTTCTGCTACAGGTTTTATGGTAATGGAAAAAAAAGCTTTGCAAATTAATTATCCAGAAATTTCTAGTAAATCCTTAATCATGTGATTGTAGATCAAAGCACATATGTAAATTTCCAGTTTCGCCCATCACATCGTTTTCCATAAACTAATTGAAACTTGTTAGAAATCTTGTCTATATAAACTGAAAAACAAAACATCCGAATGACCGATTAATCTTCCTTTCTAAACATTCCTGATAACCCAGTGATCTTCAACTGAGAACTTGTTTTCCCTTTATCCCAGACACTAAATCAGTCTTTTATCAATAAAAAAACAAATAAACAATCAAGTCAGTGTATTAATTCAATCATCCTAATAATCGCCCAATCCATCCATCAATCATTCCATGAACTCGTTCCAATTCATCCGTCTTCTTTGAAAAAAGTGAACTATGTGTGACCTAATCGGTGCGCGCCGGTACCTGTCGTTTTCTCGACTTGTTTACATTTAAAATTTCTGAGATTAGGAAAATTGACAAAAGTGGGCGATAACCCAGAGAGGAAATGAACTTTTTTTGGCATCAAAGGTTTGCAAGGAAAGAAAAGAGGATTCTCAGATCTTGTGGAGAATACAACAAGGGGACCGTTGTCCACCCAAATTTTTTGAACTCGACACCATTTTCGGGTGTCCTTGGAAGAGAAACAATACGTTTTAGCTTAAGCTTAGAATTTTTCTCAAAAAGTTCCAGTCAAAAAAGTACTGAAATTCGCGAAAACCAGTGGAATTTTCTGATGTTTCTCTAAATTTTTTTTGAAATATGTCTGTTTTTCGTTCAAGTTACAATTTGATAACAATTAGGATCAAATACCTTGTTTTCCTTCCACTGGGAACTCGCATTTTGGTGACAAGTTCAAAAAATTCGAGCGCCTTTTGGTTTTTTCGAGGTTTCAGAGAGATTTCAGAGATTTTGGAGGTTTCAGAGCAATTGAAAATGATCTTAAAATAGAAAAGAAATTCAAAAACTAGACTTATGGAGCTATGGTAATCCACAAACGTCGGTGGTTCCAGAGACATTTGGTTGCAATTTAAACGCTGAAAATGGTCTCAAAATCAAATAACCCATAAAGCAGTTATGGATAGTCTATACTGTCTACTATTTTTCAAGATATTCGCAAGAATTCGTTTTCAGTTGTTTTCCCAATCCACCTGACACTGTATCCTAGTTTGATCTTAACTCGTAGTCTTTGTTTTTTCGTTTTCTGATACCAAATTGATATTTTCATTGTCAGTTTTTGTAGTCATCCCACAAACCTGTTCGAACTTTTGAACATCTCCACCATTTCCTTTATTCTGAAATCTCGTGGTTTTTTTTCGTCAAATATATCAAAACGCCCAGTTAGAATCTAAACTGACAAGTTAACTTACTCCCTCATGTGTTTGCCTATTTTCAATGTAACATTCTTTGGGAATTCCATTGTATTCTGGTTGGGTTGTAGACAAGGTCATTAACAAGAACAAAAAAGTTTTATGCAAAATTGGGAAAACGGAAGCAGAAATTGTTTGTGAAGCATTCGGCAGAAGCCTTCGGTTTTTGAGAAGACAATAAAAAGAAATTTTTTTTTTCAATCAAGGGTGAATAAATAAAATGAGATAACCGGGGGTTTCAATTATAATACGGTATGAGCAAAAACTTTATTTGTTAACAACAGTTTTTAGATCATTTTGAAATGTAGAGAAATTATCAGACTATAAGAAAACATTGTGATTGTCTTTGTAATGAGACCATTTTTCAAGCGAAAGACACATTTTTCCAGAATAATTGTTTTGTGTTCTGTAGCCTAATATCCCCTTCTCAAGTCATCGAGATTGGTGCTCTGTTACATCACAATCGTAAAAGATGTGTGGTCAGTGATCATTGAACGAGCGTTCTCTCAAGAAGACGTTGTACTGGGCTCAAATTGGGAGTGCGAAAATTCAAATCAATCATCAGTAAGCTGGTCCAGTTTCAAATTACTTGATCAACATTGAGCTGAGTTATCGCTTGTCAAATTTGCGCCATCTCATGAAAATCACAACGGCGTACTAAAAAAACTTCATCTTTGAACAATCATAACAATACCTAGAATTGAGGAATCGCTATGGAAATTTCAGTAGTTGTGAATCAAACGTAAATATATTTTTCTACCAATATCTGTGCTTTCGAGATACTTATGCCCGTTTCTATCAGGAACGGGTAATTGTGCGCCACCGTGTAACTTGAGGTGATCCATTTTCCTTATACTACAATGACTACACTTATGGCTGAAGATATATCCATTTTTATCAGTCCGAGTGTAACTGTAGTAAACTTGAAGTTTATTGGAAGGTTCAATAAAACTCAAACACCGCTGAATCGATTCACTTTTTGAAAGGATTTCCGTTCATAAAACAGTACGTTCCACACTAGTCTAAACCTTCTCTTCAGTTAACAAACGTACTCTGTTATCACCAGTCAATCAAAAAAAAAACATATAGATTGTCTAGTTTCTTATCATTTTACACTATTTCCCTCTCCTAACTGACCAACGTGTGGATTTTTCGTGCCAGGAACTGCGGCTTTTTTCTCCTGTCAGTCATCTAGTATTGTACTTGTGACTTTTCGTTTTCATTTTTTGTACTATTTTAATAGATACCTACGTTTTCCAGTCATGGCCAAACCTATATGTTCCGTACAAGCGCAAGGTCAGAAAATGTATACATTCGTACAAGTCGATGATTGTACATTCAGGTTAGTGGTCAACGATTATTAGGAAAAGTTTCTTAAAAAATTTTTTAGAGCCGAATATCTGTTTCATGCTCGTCAAAATCCAAATGGAGCTGCTTATGGAGGATTGGTGTTTTCTCAGGCGTTGGCAGCAGCAGAGAAGACTGTTCCAGAGAATTTTAAGCCCAATTCTGTGCATTCGTATTTTGTATCAGCAGGTGGGCTTTGAGCTACCTACATTTGTTATGATTCCCATTTCGTAAGATACAGTCTGTTACGAAAAAAGGAGACTTGGAAGAGAAGCGCCGGTGGCCGTGGCAGAAGGTCCCACAATGACAACTACTGTAACTTAAAAATATTATCATTTTCCCGATTTTCGTGCGTTCACTTTGAAAACTCCACTATGTCAATCACTATGAAAATGCTCAATATTCGACTTTTTTGGGGAAAAAACAAGAAAAATAGAAAAAAATCAGTGATGAAAATAAACCCTGAAAAAATAGGTTACGGTAGTTGTTGTTGTGGGACCTTCGGCCACGGCCACCGGCTTTTCTCTTCTCTCCAATAGAACATCACTCTCACTGAAAACTGATTTTCGACGATACGAATTAATCATAGACATTTCTAGAGTACTAACGCTAGACAAGAAAATCTAGAATTGGAGACTTTTAAACAATATGTTTAAGACATAAAATTTATAGTTTCTAGTGAACTACTCAACACCGGCAATCTACAAAGTAAGACGAATAAGAGATGGCAGAGGATTCATCAACAGAACAGTGGAAACAATTCAAAACGACAAAATTTGCTTCTTACTCCAAGTCTCATTTCACAAGGTAACTACATATTTAATTTCAAAATTCACGTCTAAAAATTGCAGACTGAAAAAGATAGTATGATTCATCAAGATGTTATGCCAAAAGTTCCGAAACCAGAGACATTAGTGAGCATGAGACAAGCTGTGATTGCTACGAAAAAGCTTGTATCGGAAGGTGGATTAGAATTGAAGCCTGCAATGTTGAATAGATTAATGGTGTTGGATAATAAGGCTTATGTAACCAATAATGATATGTTTGAGGTAAAATTAAATCATTGTTTTTCTGTTGTTTATTTTTTAATTTAAGGCTAGATGCACAAATCTAGGAAACTGGTATGGGTACTCGAGTGATCTGAAACCGGAATTGAGTGTTTGGATGAAGACGAGAGAGTGTTTGGGAGATGAAGAAAGGCTTCACAGGTATTCTAATCACTAATTATTTAGTCCGGAATGAAAATATTTTCAGATGGCTACTGGCATGCATGAGTGATGCTATTCTCATCCCTGCCGCAATGTCTGCCCATTTCTCGTGAGTTTCTGACTTCAATATTTTTCAATTTCATTCGAAATTATAGACAAGGCTTTGAGGACAGCCTACACGTCTCCTTAGATCACTGCCTTTACTTCCATACACACGATTTTCGAGTTGATGAATGGTTTTTGTTTGAGTGCAAATCTACAGTATCCTCTGGTGGAAGAGCTTTTATAAATGGAAGAATCTGGAGAAGAGATGGGAAACTGATTGCCAGCTGTCAGCAAGAAGCAATTGTTCGTGGAAAGGATGGACAGATTTCCAAACTTTGAATTTTTTTAATCAGTTTTTTTTTTGTCGTCTGGAACGAAGCTGAATAAATGTATTACTTGAAATAAACTTAACGGGGTTATTCAGTTGAGGCAAAAAAGCAGGCAAAACCTTAAAGGAGGCGAGACAGCAAAAATTTCGGGGGCAGTTGGGGGGACGAAATCGCGCCGCGCTTATGTAGACCATCGGTCGTCAGGCGCCTTCGCGTCCCCGTAGCTCAAGCGGTAGCGGCGCTGTACCCCTGAGCTGCCTGTCATGAGTTCAACCCCTCATGGGGGTTCTCTATGCAAAATATCAGGAAAACTTTTTTTTTGGTGTCTGGCTTCCTTTAAGAAAGTAACATATTAGCAAAGTTTGGGGTCAGAATATCCAGTATCCTTCAAACTTCCAGCCAGATTGGCTCATCCTCCGAGTTTTAACGGCAGTCTATTTTTTTGGTTTTTGCCGGTTTTTTTTGTCTCGCCTGAATAACCTCAAAAATACAAATAAACAGAAAAAGTTTCTTATGCCAGGTCCCGCATGATTACCCGAATTCAAGTTCTCACTGGGCTCAAACTTGAAGTACAAAAATTAAAATAATTCATCTGAAATTTGGAGCAAGTTTCAAATTATTTCATCAATTTTGAGCTGCGTTATCACTTGTCAAATTTGCTTCATCTCATGAGAATCACAACGGCGTGCAAGGAACATTTTATCACAATCATAACAATTCCTAGACTCGAGGAATCGCTTTAAAAGTTTCAGTAGCTTTAAAGGGGGACTCCGACCAAAAATTTTTATTGCATTAAAATGTGTTAAAAGTTGTCTATTTTCCGAATATTATTGCGAAAAAATTCAAAAAAAATCCGAAATTCCCAAAAAACGCCGTTGAAAAGGAAGAAAATTCAAAAAAAGGTGCCGCCGGGGGATGAGGATTTTCAGTGAGAAACCTA